CGATCCAGAACACAGCCAGACCCAGTGCCCAGCCCACCATCCCCCGCTGCGTGGAGCGTAAGACCGAGCCCACCGTTGATGGAGAGCCCGTTGCGACCGCCTAGGAGTGTGATAGAGCTGAGGATCGCCACGGAGCCAGAGCCTCACGGATTGTCAGACCAGGTGCGAGAGCCGGCTACAACACCTGCCACGAGGGAGAAAGCCGTGGACAGAGAGAGCGCGGAGAGGAGCTCCGCCCTCTGCACTGTGGCTGAGGGTGAGCTAATTATGGATCTGGGACTGTATAACTCCGAAGGAGAGAGGGCTCCCGTCCCTGAGTTTAGCCCTGAATGCCTGGAGGCTCACAAATTGTGAATAAGGTGAAAAAAGGTGATAACATTTACATTTAGTCATTTAGCAGACGCTTTTATCCAAAGCGACTTACAATTGGGGGATACATAAAGTGATTCTTCTTAAAGAGGCAAACAGACACAGGAAGTGGATGTAATACCAAGTTCTTAGACATTGTTCAAATAAGTACAAGCTAGAAAGAGAAGGAATAAATAAAGAGAGAGAATTTTTTATTTTTTATTTTTTTTATGATGAAGTCAAGTAGCTTCGAAAGAGATGAGTTTTCAGCTGTCGCTTGAAAATTGTCAGGGATTCAGCATTCCGGATAGGGGTGGGAAGATCGTTCCACCAGCCAGGAGTGGTGAACGAGAATGTTCTGGAAAGTGATTTTGAGCCTCTCTGTGATGGTACCATGAGGCGTCGCTCACTAGCGGATCTCAGACTTCTGAAGGGGATGTAGATTCGTAGTAGTGAGTGGAAGTAGGCGGGTGCTGAGTCTGTGGCTGTTCTATATGCAAGCATCAATGTCTTGAACTTGATTCGAGCCGCAACCGGTAGCCAGTGCAAGGAGATAAAGAGAGGTGTAACATGGGCTCTTTTGGGCTCGTTGAAGACCAGTCGTACCGCTGCATACCGCTGATAAGGCGCAGATCTGATGTGTTGAATCCCATTCACACGCAAGAAGGACTGAAACTCTTCAGACACCAGTTGTGGGCCATTATCGCTTACAAGCTGCTGTGGTATCCCAAAACGACTGAACACAGATCTAAGCTCTTCGATGGTTTTCTCAGAAGATGTACTGTTCATAACCGCTACCTACGCCATTTGCTGTGAGCGTCGACAATCACCAGAAACATGTGGCTCTCCATTGGTACTGCGAAGTCGATATGTATTCTTTGCCATGGCTCCTCTGGAAAGTCCCATGGGTACAAGGGGGCTATCTGTGGCATGTTTCTTACATTCTGGCAATCTGGAAGTAAAAAGTAAAAATTCGGACTTTTCCATCTTTTTTAATACAGGAACAATGGGCGTGGCCCACTCGCTAACGCTTACTTTCTTAAGTACTCCAGTTATCTCCAGGCGATCTAGTTCTATTTCAATCTTCAGCTTAATCGCATAAGGAACAGGGCGCGCTTTTAGACACTTAGGTTTACTGTCAGGTTTAATGGCCAGCTTTACCATAATATCTTTCATGTTCCCCAGTTCGTCTCCGAACACCTCTGCATGCTTCCTCAGGATGTTTTGCAAACTGGTAGACTCTTTCGCTACTAAGTGCACTTCCTGCCAGTTTAACTTTATTTTCTCTAGCCATGCTCGGCCCATTAGAGCTGTTTAACTACCACCTTTCACAATATACAGTGGTAATTTTACCTTCTGTTTGTTCAGCTCTACAGTCACATCCACAACCCCTGAAAGAGGTACAAGCTCTCCTGTGTATGATTTCAGGGTCAGGTTTGCTTCCCTGGGACAGAGGTGTGGCCACTTCTCTAGGTAAGTTGATTCTGCCACGAGCAATACAGCTGTGCCTGTGTCCACTTGCATAGGGACGGCCTCCCCATCCAGCCGTGGCATCACCCAGTAGCCATCAGAATTGAAAAAAACAGACATAACATATGAGAACTCATTTTCATCAGATTCATCCTCTTGTTTCCCTGTATATTCCACTTGATTTACATGTTTCTTTTTAGTTTTCCTGACATAACCTTTCTTCGGTTCCACATGTTTAGTTGGATTTACTTTCTCAATTACCGTCAGCTTTTTGTTTTGACATGCACGTTCAATGTGCCCTTTTCTTCCACAGTTTCTGCAGTCTTTGTCTTTGTACCAGCATTCCTGTGCCAGATGACCACTCTT